AGTATTTTCAGGTGTGCGGTTGACCTGTCCGTGCACCGTCCACACTTGCGTTCTTTTCGAAAACTACTTTTACAAGGTTGGACACGCTTTACAGGACACTGGAAAAAATAGCATTTCACCTAGTAAAAACCGTAGCATTCTTTTCTTAAAGTCACCTAATAACGTTGGGTTTTAGATGCTATGCTACCAAGCTGGACTGTGTTGTTGTAGCTGATCAAATCTAAGATGATTTGAACCACAGCAGCAAATTTCCTATGATAGCCGCACTACACAGTAAAAGAACCTACATCTCATCTTAACAGTGTGGCCGTTCACATACATACAAATTTGAAATAAAAAACACTCTAAATCTATATTTTGGCAGAAACTCAGTTGTCCTGCTACAGTTTCTCATTAGTTCAAATGGGATTTTGCTGTTACGATGATAATGTCAGTTATTCTTGATTCAACGTTATAGTTTTAATATATGAGTAGGTTTAATCACAATACAGTGTTCAGCCAGTGTTTTTGTTCGTATCGTGCAGCTCTACTGTTTGCGTCACTGTTGCTGCCCACAGCTTTGTCGGTCCCATCTGTACTGCTGCAGGCTGGGGCAAATGGTCAGGAAAGCGCAGTGGCCTTACTGCCCCCACAGAGCCCTGCAGCCCTGCCCCGGCGCCTGCATTAGCCTGCCGACCTGTGTCCCAGTCAGGCACGTTCAGGCCCGGGCTGAGGCGGACCATATGCAGGCTCTCGGCTGCTCTCTGGATCGCGCGGGGGCCCTCAGGCTAACACACCAGCTGTGTTTTTGCGCCAGTAGCACCACTGCCTTCCTCCGCTCCGCCGAGCCTGTGTGTTCAGGAGGAACGCAGGTGATGCCGCGCTAACACAGCTTAGCCAGGTAGCCGAACAGTGCAAGTGAGATGTAATATCTCTCAGTATAAGATTGTTGCAGAAGTGCTGTAAGATTATTCAGTTATTTTGTTTCAAAATTTCTGCATAATCAAATGGTTAAGATGTAAACAGAGTCGGTCAGCCTGGTTTGGTGTGAAACGCTCCATTCTAGAGAAACTTTTCGTGATAGGAACGAGATGTCCAGCTCTAAAAGCTCCCTCACAGTAAGTTATTATGGTTAAACACTGCCTGATGTCTGAGACAGTTTTTTTTTTCAGAAATTTTGGCCTAAAACATTTTTTTAATCTATTGATGTTGGAGAGGTGCATGCAAGGCAAAATAGAAAAATTGTGCTGGTCTGAGTGGATCAGACACAGCAGTGCTGCTGGAGTTTTTAAACACTGTGTCCACTCACTGTCCACTCTATTAGACACTCCTACCTTGTCAGTCCACCTTGTAGATGTGAAGTCAGATAGCTCATCTGCTGCTGCACAGTTTGTGTTGGTCATCCTCTAGTCCTTCATCAGTGGTCACAGGACGCTGCCCACAGGACGCTGTTGGCTGGATATTTTTGGTTGGTGGACTATTCTCAGTCCAGCAGTGACACTGAGGTGTTTAAAAACTCCAGCAGCACTGCTGTCTGATCCACTCAGACCAGCGCAACACACACTAACACACCACCACCACGTCAGTGTTACTGCGGTGCTGAGAATGACCCACCACCCAAATAGTACCTGCTCTGTGAGGGTCCATGGGGGTCCTGACCACTGAAGAACAGGGTAAAAGGGGGCTAACAAAGTATCAGAGAAACAGATGGACTACAGTCTGTAACTGTAGAACTACAAAGTGCACCTATATAGTAAGTGGAGCTGATAAAATGGACAATGAGCGTAGAAACAAGGAGGTGGTCATAGTGTCATGCCTGATCGGTGTATATTCACCTTGAGGTTATAAGGAGCGTTTCAGCTGAGACTGCTTTTTGAGTGAGGCACAGCCAATCAGAACAGAGCTCATTTACATATATCTTAAAGACATAGCAACAGAAACAGCCTGTTGAGTACTAAGGGATAAAGAGAGGTTGGAAAATATCATGTAAAAATGAATTTCGACTGTTTTTGGCCCATAAAACCAAACAAACTTCTTAAGTGGACCTCAGGAGGACAGGAGAAATGTGGAATCTGTGGCCTCTTTAAAGTGCACATAACTAGCGCTGTCTGAAGCCAACACTCGTCTCAGGTTTTGGAACGATTGTGTGTTTTGAGTATGCTGTGGATGGTCTTCTTTCCGTTACGATGATGTAAAGTGCTGCGGACGTGTCACTCTAGTTGCATGGGTTCTCTTGCATGTGTGCACTGAGCTGTTTTTCCTTTCCCCTTCTCTAGAGTAGACCGCGTCACGCTGGTCAATAGTGTCATGTCGAATTGGAGTCTGTATTCAAAACAAGCCACCTAACGTGATTAAGAGGGCCGATTCAATCTGAATGCTTAGTGGGAATGAATGATTCATTAAGTTATTAAATATAGCTGCGAGCGGCAATTAAAAGGGGGCCAGGCAAGATGGCTGCCAACCTATGTCTCTAATTAGACGTAAGATTGGGCCGTGACACATCGTTTGTCACACCTGTGCAGTGAGTCATGGAGACTGGGTAATGCAGCAAATGATACGGTTCACGCTCGTCATGTTTGTTTACGTGGCGTTCAGAGACCCTGCTAGCACAAACTCAGGCCTGTAGACTGCAGCACTGTCTATCAGGGATGTTTTCTATTTAGGGATGTTTTCTGTTTATTCTATTTCTATTTATTTTGACTCATTTAAAACAGTAATTCGTCCAGGTTTGTGTATTATAGTGTGTTATAGTGCATTAATTGTTTAACAGTTTGATGTTTACTAAAATACACTACCGATCAAAAGTTTAAAATAATATTTTCAATGATATGAAAGAAATGTAGGTTCAGATAATTCTATAAAATGGTTAGACATAATATGTTTAGCATGAACTTCACAGGTTCCAAATCACTGGTAAGAAACGTGAAGGTGTAAATAAAAATAAGATGTGTCTAGAACGATGAACAGAGCTGTAGATGATTCTAAAAGCTGTACAACACTGAGAATTAAGTTACGATAAGATTAATATCCAGAATTCATGATGTTTCAGAAGTGGAGATCAAATTTCAGAGCCAGATATCTCGACAAAATTGATGTAAATAGATTATTACAGTATGTTATCATTTTATTCACTTTTTCAAAGTACTTTTGGTGAATAGTTTGTGATATTCAAATCAATATTGTGTATCGCTGCAGTCGGAAAAAAATCTCGTATCTCCAAATTTTACAGGGGAAGGAAAAAACCTACTTTACTTTTAATGTAAGTCAATGGAACCAGACATATTAAGTCATTTTGGATCGTTTCTGTTTGTCCTTTCATCATGAAATTTACACACAATGTAAAGGACAACAGGCATTTTCAAATCATGTCAAAACTGAAAAACTAATATTTGTTCCGACAGCAGTGATACATTACTACTGTGTATGAAATAGCAAAAATTGTTAATATGGCGTGTGGCTCCAAACATTCAAAGTGTAGTGTACATACAATAAAAAAGTGAACTGAATTGTTTTGATTCACACTGCGGGGCATAACCTAGCACATTTTGGTTTTTGCTTAATAATTTAAAAGTGTCAGCAATAATTCTTATATATATAAGCAACCTGCACATCTCCTCTACGAGTAAAAACTACCATTTTCTTTCCAGCACCTACTGTTTGTAAACATTTTAGCCAAATGTACAAATGTTACAACTGACCCTACAGGCAGAAATTGACTATAACAGACTGTAACAGTTGCTAAAATGTCTGGTAAATAGATGCAAACCCATTTAATTCAATTCAATTCTGTCTTATTTGAGCTAGATTGGTTTTCCAACCTAAATACATAAAAAATATCTGCATTAGATATGATTAGTAAAACAAGGCCGTGTCAAACATGGTAAATTTATTTTTAAAGTAGAACAGCTAATATCAGCACAATAGAACTGACTGTATTTTATTCATATTGCATGTATAGTGCGTTGAATCTGCATAAAAATTATAAAAGATCAGCAATTTTTTGAGTGTATGTGGGGCGATATGGACTAACCCCGAGCTGCGGAGGCTGTACTTTTTCCTGGTTGCTGTCACTGTGGGTATTTTATATGCTTTAAAACAGTGCTTATAGTCACAGAGAGAGAGATTAAGGTAAATTAGGAGCGAATTCTGTGACTTATGCATAGAATTCAGCAATCAAAAATGCTTACGATGAAAAAATAGGTTTTATGGTGAGGTTGTGCCCCATTTTCCACTAAAATTTGCACTAGTATAGAACACACTTCAACATGACTAAATCTTGTTAATATATTTTATATGTGTAGAAATTGTGTACACATTTTAATAAGTAAACTTATGCATCACCTTTGGTTTGTTTTGTGGCATACAGCACTTTAATGTCTATCATACTCAACCAGGCCAGTTTATGCTGCATAACATAGCACAGAGTAGTTTTATCTGCGGTATGCTTTGATTTGTGCCATTATGTCTGTATCCGCTGTAGTGTAAGGTTGAGAATAGGCAGAATAGGCTCTCACAGAACAAGGCCATTCCAGCCTGCTGCTCCTTGACTCGTGGGGAACAGCGAGGTACGCAGGGCTGCTTTAAAGAATAGAGGGAGCGTTCGAGTGCTTAGACGACAGCGTATCTTCCACTTTCCTATTGAATCGGCCCCGGTCAGAGGAGTGGATCGAGCTTTACCCGTGTGTGCTGTGCTGTGCCTCACTTCTAATTTAATCTCATCTCTCATACGTATTTATATATATATATATATATATATATATATATATATATATATATATATTTATAGCATTCCCCCCCCCCACATTATACATCTCCAACCCCCCTCCCAGCATGTGTGTTACTCTTCCATGTCGAGTGTGGGACTGCACTGAGAGCTCTGCTTGTGAACTGAATCCATTTACTGTAAAGCAACCCCCCTCCTTTACCACCCCCCCTCACTCACAATCCCACCCCACCCCCCCAACCATACGCCCATACAGCCAGTCAGCAAGCGGTATTGTGAATTTTATCTTCTCTTGCAGAAATCATTTCGTCCTCGTTGCAGCCGATGAAATTTCTTGTAACACCTCTTCAGGTAAAATAAATAAATATGAAAATGAATAACAGATCACCCTCACTTTCTTGATGCACCCACGAGGGAGCAGGCATATCCTTTTTTTATGCACCTCGACAGTGAGTGCTTTTATTGCTCGCCTCTCTTCTTATTTCTGCCCCTTAATTAGTAGATTTTTTACTTCTTTTGTTGGTTTATTTTTCCTCTTTTTTTGTTATTTTTATTATGATTCTGAATGCTCTTCTTCAGAGTGGAACAGGCTTTTTTAGAACATTGCATGAGGATAGCTGGCAGGCATTTGCACCCCTTTTTGCTCATCCTCTGTTTCCCTCGCCATTGGCGCTGCTTCCAACAGGCATGTGTCCCTTGAAGAGTGAAATGAACACGCTGTCGCAAGCTTGGATCCTGTGTGGTTTGTGTCTGTGTGCTTTTTCTTTTCGTCCCTGTTCTTCTCCATGTGATCATTCATTTGAGTTCTGTCCTTTAAGAGCATCTCCATCCGATTATACGTGTGCTCTGTTTGTTTTTTCATGGGCGTGTGGTGTCAGTGGTTGGTGTTTTTCAGGATGCTCGCTTGGTTTGCCATGTTTTGCACACTGGCTGTAGGGGGCTAGATCTCTGGAATGATGTTAGTATGTGAGCGGCTGGCTTCAGAGGCAGCTTATTGAAAGGGAATTGAATCTGTCCATCCACGTATTGATTTTGCGACTCTTTTTATTTTTTTTTTTCCACCAGGGGAAAATGAATATGCTAACAAGTCTGTAGTTTAGGCCGAAGGCTTCTTTTTGAAGACGTCAGCTGTTTTCAATAAAAACATGAGCAGAATGTGTAATTTGGACTTGCATATTGTTGACTAATTGTTCTACTTCAATAATTGCTGGTAAGCCAACTGGCTTTGTGGCTTGCATACATAGGTCATGAATTTTTATGGGCAGTTACAATTACGATTACTTTACAGACAAAATGGCCAGTGGTTGATTATTATTAGCCAGTTTTTTTATAATTACTAATATTCGTTTAACCCAAAGCTGGCACTTTGCAGGCTGCTATGAAACACAGTCCTAACAGAAGCACAGATGTGTGTGCACGTCAGATGAAGCATTCAGATTAGCATACTTTGTCACAGTGGTTATAATAATAATATATATCGCTGCTGTCGGAAGAAAACCTCGTATCTCCATTTTTGATGTTTTTCAGTTTTTGACATAATTCGAAAATACCTGTTGCCCTTTATATTATATGTAAATTTCATGATGATTGAACTGAAAGAAACGGCCCAAAACGACTTGTAAAAAATTCTGGTTCCATTGACTTACATTAAAATGAAAGTAGGTTTTTTCCTTTTCCTGTAAAGTTACCATTTTGGAGATACAAGGTTTTCTTCCGACATCAGTGATAATAGTACATTAGATGAGTCATTACCCCCTTTTGTAGTAGGGATCAGTTTTTGAATAAGTCGACACCGCAAAACGGAGAATGCATTAATGCATGTGTGATTGCGTTCAGATTGCATGGATATGAACTGAATGTCCCATGACCATAGTAAACTTATCAGCTTAACAGGCCTTAATAGACTATTATATAGGTTTTAACTGTATTTAACTGTATATCTGAGCTGTATTTACTGAATGACTCACTATAAAACTGCAACGTATGAAGTAAAGAACAAATGTATGTAGGACTGCAAATTTCAGTGAATTCTTTTGACCAAAAGGCAATGAGTCAGTGATTATGCCTAAAATCAAGGACATGACCCATCAAAACAGCAGTTATAAAACAGAAATGTCCAAATCTAAAAGCTGATTGGCCAAGGCATGTTCGACCTCATTGTAAAATACCTGATATACACACTTGTAAGCATATCAGCTGAATTCTGAACATAAATAATAAATAGTAAATGGCCCTGAAGTGTATTAAACATACCATATATAAGAACCCAGTTCTGAATATGTTCAAGATATGACCAAAAACTAATATAAAAGCTGATAAAATGACTGGAAAATATCTTGATGTTCTTCTAAAATTCTATATTCTAAAGTTCTAAAATCACTGATTATTAACTCCAGTTAAATGAACATCCTTACCGCCGTTGATCACACATTCTCTAGGAGAACACGGACCAAACAGTCATCTGCCTCATCATTTTCAGATGTTTACTTTAAATATGGTGCATAGTTGGGCTTGAAAGGTGGTCTTTGAACACTATAGTTTTAGCTACATTCTTCATTTTTAGGTTGAATCTAGTGGAACTGATGGCGCATTGCGCTCTCATGTGTTCCATTCAAAAACATTCATGAACTTGAATGACCAACTATTCAAATAGGAGCTGTTTTTTTTTTTATTAGAAATGAGATAAAATTAAAGTAACTGTTTGAAACAATTGAATAATTGTTTTTGTTGGTTAACTTTAATCAATTAATCTTAATCTTAAGGCATATAATTCCTAATTATATGTCTTTCAAGCTTCAAATGTTAAACCTGTCATAAGTAATATTAAATACAGTCTGGGTACATTACTGTTATCTTGGCACTAACATAACAGAAAATCCCCATTGCAGAAATTAGCATTATGTTCGCAGCAAAAAAGTGGAATGCTTCTGCATTAAATGCAGCTGTTTAATGAAATGTTTGCAATTACATGAAAAAAAAAATCAAAAGTCCTGAACTTACTGGAAGATTTAATGCTTTATTAATGTTTGTACAGGCTGTACTAGATAAAAAATTCAGACATTAGCAAAAATTCTCTAATTCGAAGTCCTTCTTAATAGCCAGAGTAGCAAAATTAACCCAGGCTGATGTGCTTCTGACTCTGATCTTGCACCCCTAATACAATTGTATGCAAATGATTTGGCACCCCTGATTAAATGACAGGTTATGTTGATATTGTAAGTGTAAATAAGTGAACACGTCCTCTACAGAGACACGTCTGCACATTTTAATGTACATTTGCAGTTTATTTGCTGAATTTAACATATGATAAAATGTGGACTGTGGAAAGGTTATGGTATATTTTTTTCAGCATGTTAAACTCAGCAAATAAATAGAAATAGTGCACTAAAAATAGCAGACATTTGCCTTGTTTGAAGTTTGCTCCCTGTAGAGGAGAACTTCTTTTCACAGATCAGTAAGACGTGTCATTTGACCGAGTGTTTCATACGACTGCAGGTACAATCATCAGCGCCTTTTACGCATAGAACCTTGCGCTAAGCGACTGGAGGATAGCCATACATTGTTGAAGGGAGCATAGAAATGAGCTTCCTGCGAGGAAAAAGTCGATACATGTAGAGAAATTGCACCATTGCTGCACATTTTCCAAAATAACGAGCGCATAGTCAATAATGCAGATATGCCCCTCCACCCATTGGAGATTTATTAAGCTGTATCTCAAGACCCAGATCTAATTTAGTTCTATGTTAGAGTAGCTGTTGTTCATTAGCCAACATACAGCCTACCAGGCTCATAAATCTGCTTTGCCTTCGACGGGTCTCAATAGACTGCGGGAAAAGTCGCCAAGTCTGCTGTGGCAGCATGAGATGAACTGTCAGAGACTCAGCTCTCTCATAATGCATATGTTTTTGCTGAGATCTGTAGAACATTTGGAGGACGTCTAGGCACTTTCGACATAGCGCCCAATTGAACAGCTTGCATGCATGATGTCTATATATTAGGGCTGCACAATGTATCATTAGTCAATCATTACTGCAATAACAGCCTTCGCAGTGCTGATATCACAGAGGGCTGCAGGCAGTTGAGTGTATCTGTGGGTGTTTTTATGAATCAAGGTGTTCGTGTAATGCAATAAAAGTATTATTTTGGTCAAAATAAGGCAGGCTAGTCTTTAACCGTGCCACATTATTAGTTCACCGATGTGCTTTTAATATATTGCGAGACACAGCACAATTGCAAAATGTAGCAATATAATTACAGTAGTACACTGAAAAAAGGCAATGGTTATACACCGATCGGGCATAACATTCTGACCACCTCCTTGTTTCTACGCTCATTGTCCATTTTATCAGCTCCACTTACTATATAGGTGCACTTTGTAGTTCTACAGTTACAGACTGTAGTCCATCTGTTTCTCTGATACTTTGTTAGCCCTCTTTTACCCTGTTCTTCAGTGGTCAGGACCCCCATGGACCCTCACAGAGCAGGTACTATTTGGGTGGTGGATCATTCTCAGCACTGCAGTAACACTGACGTGGTGGTGGTGTGTTAGTGTGTGTTGTGCTGGTCTGAGTGGATCAGACACAGCAGTGCTGCTGGAGTTTTAAAACACTGTGTCCACTCACTGTCCACTCTATTAGACACTCCTACCTTGTCGGTCCACCTTGTAGATGTAAAGTCAGAGACGATAGCTCATCTGCTGCTGCACAGTTTGTGTTGGTCATCCTCCAGTCCTTCATCAGTGGTCACAGGACGCTGCCCACAGGATGCTGTTGGCTGGATATTTTTGGTTGGTGGACTATTCTCAGTCCAGCAGTGACACTGAGGTGTTTAACAACTCCAGCAGCACTGCTGTGTCTGATCCACTCAGACCAGCACAACACACACTAACACACCACCAACATGTCAGTGTTACTGCAGTGCTGAGAATGATCCACCACCCAAATAGTACCTGCTCTGTGAGGGTCCATGGGGCTCCTGACCACTGAAGAACAGGGTAAAAGGGGGCTAACAAAGTATCAGAGAAACAGATGGACTACAGTCTGTAACTGTAGAACTACAAAGTGCACCTATATAGTAAGTGGAGCTGATAAAATGGACAATGAGCGTAGAAACAATGTTATGCCTGGTCAGTGTATATTGAACTGTAACAACTTAAAGAACCATGTGAATCCATACGTGGTTCTTTGCATTGTTTATTGGCTCATGTTTATGATGAAAATGCTGTTGTATTAAAGAACATTTTAAATTATTCTGTATAGAAAAATAACAACCTTCATAGTTTGTGGAGGTTGTTCAAACATGGTTCTTCACATCTCATTTACCTTTTGGAACTGAACCCTTTAACCAAAGGTGGCTCTGTTATGTCGTCACTCCTGGGAACTCTTTTTAGGGATTAGTATTTGGTCCATATCGTGCAGCCCTTCTATATTTTTCACGTTTCCCTTTCATTGGTGGAGGTTCTGGCGATTGCACCGATGGTCCTTTTTAACAAAAGCAAAACATAAACCTAAACATTCGGAGTGTCACTTCAATCGCCGTTTCATTACTGACTGCTCGAAAGGATAATTTGCCAGGCACAGGGTCCTAAGGGTCACCTTTTCAATCTCAGGGCCAATAGAGTGTGGGAAGTCCTGGGTTGAACAGTCGAGTGCATACTCATTAAAAGTAGCCCCTGTAAACAGAGATAACACAGGTCAAACAAAACGCTTGGCAGGGCAATGAAATATGAAGACAGGGCGACTGTATAGCGAATAACAATGTCCATACTAATCTGTAGTGGATTAACTTCTTAATCGCAAAGAGTGAGTGAATATGTAAATTACCTCATTTACAGGCTGTGCCCTGCCTCCTGATTGGCCCTTATCAGGTCCAAAAACACCATGCATGCATAACAAGGCTCAAAGGAGCAGATAATCCCGGTTATTTTACTAGCCAGACCCCAAGAGCCTCCGCACTCGCTCAATCAGACCTCTTCAGGCAGATCACGCACCTAAGACGCACAATTATTGTGTTATTTTTGTTTGATTGTTGTGATAGGGGTGGACAGCATGATCATCATAATAATAGCAGTAAGTCTTTATTTACAGGGTACTTTTTTATTTTTGTTACAAAATCTGAAATCGTTTTACACAGAAATGTAAATATAATATTAAAACTAACAGCACAAACAGGAGAAAATGAGTCACAGTACTTCTAAGCATATTCCAGCCTGAACAGATGCCTTTAATCTAAATTTAAAAACATGTCAAGCTTGCTTTCTATGCTCTTCCAGAGTTTAGGAGTTGTATGGTCTGTTGTACCGTATTAGTCCAAGCTGCACCCCAAAGTAAAAATACGAAAACAATTAAGAATTCGGAACTTAGATATTTTCAAGGATGATCTTCCACCATCTGAGCTGTAAGAGATCCTAAACGATAGCACGAAGTGGCCTGGCCGAGCTAGAACGCTCAAACAGATCAGTAAGATATGCCGTTAAGAGTTTTAAATGCCATAACCAAAACCTAGCAGTGTCAATGCAGAACTTCACAGGAAGCCAGAATAAAAAACTGAGTAAGACTAACATGCATTCAATAATAATAATAATGATATTTCACTCTTTAAAGGCAGATTGTCCAAAAATATGTGAACTTATTTAACATTACATTCATGTTATCCTAATGAAATACTGTTGATTTTTTCTGTAAAGCACAGTTTTGCTTTTTTAATGAGCCATTAATTACAAAAACCCACAAGTTTATTTTCTCCACTCGTTCATCCACCCCCTCGTAGTAAACTGTATGTTTAGTGTGTGTGCAGTATGTTTGGAAGGCATTAACTGAGTAAAGCCTGTACAGACAGATGAATGTGACTACATCCCATAGTCAAACGACTGCACATCAATTACTGGGACATTATTAGAACAAGCAGTGACCTTTTTTTTTTCTTTTTTGCTCCAGAGCATCTTATCATTTATTATAATTTTTTATTTATTTTATTTTTTTTAGCCCAAGCGACCCTTCAGATCTCGAATAGTAATGTGCCCCTCCGCCTGTTACAGCATGACAGCGAAAAGCCTTGTGGTTTCCTCTTCTGTGACTTCATCTGAATGTCATTCTGAAACACTAAAATCATTACCATGTATTTGCTTCTGTTTCTGTGGTGGTCTATTGATTTTGTATGGCTCGGGGGGTGGGGTGGGGGGGTGGGGGGTGTTCTGTTTATGTAAAGAACAGCCAGAGATGCATTGTTTTCTCCAGCGTGACGCGGTTTTTCTTTGTTTCCACAGTTACGGACGAGTTTATGCTGCCGACCCCTACAACCACGCACTTGCTCCAGCAGCCACATACAGCGTTGGTGCCATGGTGAGCAAACGGACCCTCTTTTCTTTCTCTGTCTGTTTCTCTGCCTCTTCCCGTCGCATCCCCTTATTTATCCCTCCCCGGTCCCTGTGTGCACTCGTCATGTGCTGCCTTCCTTTTCCCTGCGCATGGTTTTTAGCACAGCTGACATCTCCTCAGTTAAACGTAATTGAATTTGTCTCTTGTGCTAACGGCAGCTGAAATGCCACATTAATCCTCCCAGTAAACGTGATAAATGTCTTAATTTCTTGGCAGTGTAGTGCATGTTAGTTATTATATTTCTAATTTTGTGAATATCACCTAGCCGAGCGCTCCCCTTAATGGAATAATTAGTCATTTTGATAATTAAATCCATCACCTAAGTGGTGCTGTAGCAACAGCTAAAAGGGGGAAAGAGCAGGAGAGAGGGTAGAGAGAAAGGAGCACGAGGAAGGCCGGCTGAGGGCCAGAGGCTCCGAACGGTGGCAGCGGTACCAGCTAGCAGCCTGCAAGTCCATCATGAGGAGATTTATAATGCCTTTTATTAAGCACAGACCATCGTGATGCATGGATGCCATAAATAAATGTGAAATGCAGAATGATCTCTGGGACTTTTTGTACTCTTTAACCCTTGGGAGTCACAGTTATTGCCTGTGTGTTGTAATTTGGTGTTAATTATACTTGTAGCTCATTAAAACAAGCAAAAAAAGTATGGAAGATGTGAATCTAGAGCAAGTTCATTTTTTTATATCAAAGCAAACAGAAAAAGGTCAGAAGTGCAGACATACATCACTATTCAAGTTTGGAATCACTGTTTTCAATAATACTAAACCAGTTTTGTTTTCGGGTACATGTATAAAATGATTCTAATATGATGGTAATAATACTAATATTAATAATAATAATAATAATGCATTTTATTTATATAGCACACTTTTCATGACAACATCAACTCATGGTGCTTTACAGAAAAATAAAACAAAATTCATAAAACAGATCTAAAACGGAGACACTTAAGATTCTACCTAAAAAGGCACAGAATGTCTTAAAACAAAACAAAATCCATAAAACACATTTAAAAGAAAATTTCACAAAATTATACATAAAAGATCCAGAGTTCACAAACAAAGCAGAATAATTCATGAAAACACGTCTAAAAAGAAAAGTCTTAAAATTCTTATTATGATAAGAGACCCAGAATTACTTAAAACAAAAACAAGACTGAATTTATAGAAACACGTCTGAAAAGAAAAGTCTTAAGATTCTTTTTAAAAGGAGATAAAGAAGCAGAATTTCTTAGAGACTCAGAAAGCTCGTTCCCTAATCATGGACCCAATATACTAAAAGCACGATCGCCCATGCAGCATGACTTTGAACGTGGAACACGGTACTGTTCTATAGATTTCAGTTTGTGGGAATCTGTAAAAGGGATATTTTCGTATGAAATGCGCAGAGCTGTAGGTGAAGCTGTAATACTTCAGAAATCTGTAGAGCTTCAGGCTTAAGAACTTAAAATGAAATTAATATTTAGACTCATATTTAAATAGCGGTGACCAAATCTCACTGACCAAACAGTTATTCATAGTTGTTTTATGGCAAGAAATTACTGTAAATAGATATTTACAGTTGTTTGGTACAGTTGTACCAAAATCTTGGTATCTAGTTTATAACATTTCAGTCTACTGAATTCATTGAATAACAATTACTAAGCGGTTACAAACGTTTGAATAGTATAGTGTAAATCAAATGTAAATGTAAATAATTATAACTATATAATAAAATGTGTCATTGTTTACATATAAATTGTTATAGTGCTACCCTTACTCGCCATAGTCACTAAAACGCGAGGCTTAAGTCAGTTAGTTCCATGTTTTTATTATGTGTTGCATTCAAATGTTATTAACAGTAGATAACAACACTATTCCTTCAGTGAATACAATGGAAAGTTTTCAAAGACACTTAATTTAATCAGTGGTGAACCGTGACTGTTAGCTAGGGCTTCAAATCAGACCATAAATATCAAAAATCGGTGAAAACATGAGGAAAAAACCCATCTCTGCTATAGATTTCTCTCTGGAAATTGATCCAATTATATCCAAAACGTGATCGGTTGATTTTCTGTGACTACAAAACTACACTGATAGTTAATCTAATGTGTTAGGACTTCTCTTCAGCTCCTGAAGTCCCTAACCAGTAGGAGAGCTGTACCTATCTAGATACCACAGACAAAAGCAATTCCTGGTTGGCCAATTTTCTACTGGGAATTTCAGGAATTTAACCCTTTCATTTTTATCCAAAACTTAACAATGGGACGAGTTTAAATATGAGCAGGACTCTGTCTCAGAAATCGTTAGGCCTTCTCTGAAGAAGCTTCTCCTCTGAATTTATTCCATTTTTCCATTTTTTTCTCTGAAGTCATCAAGTGAGCAAAGGTATTTCCATCTTCCTGGTACAGCTGTTGCTTAGTGACTTTGGTTTCCGTGGCTACAGCGTTAACACAGCTTTATTTCAGGTCACCAAAGCCTTCCCTCCATCAGTGCCCCTAATAACTCGACTTCTAAGGGTTAAAAAGCTCATCTGTGTTGTCTTCTGCCTCCTCGCTCACTTGTTTTGCTTTTTTTTTTTAAGTAGCTAAATTCATTTCTCCTGGCATGCGGCGTCTTGGTGTGCTTGCTGCATGAGGATGGTGATTGGTTCCGTCTGGGGGTATGTACAGGAAATGAGAAGGAAGTTAGCGTGTGTCGTTCGAACTACGACGATTAAAAGCGTTTGCACCCGTGACTTCTCTCCCTCCGCAGAACGCTTTCGCGCCCCTGACCGATGCCAAGACCAGGAGTCACGCGGACGATGTGGGTCTTGTTCTTTCTTCATTGCAGGCTAGTATATACCGAGGTGGATACAGTCGTTTCGCTCCATACTAAGAAAAAAAACAACACAAAACCAACAAAAAACACTAATGAGAATCTTCCTGTGGGGTAAAGAGAGAATAATTCAGAGGCCTGGGTATTGCAATACATGCAGTAGTGCATCATTTTGGCATCTCTTAAGAGAGAGGACAAAAATGGATATTTTTCATCTTATACCTCAGATATTTTGTGCTGTGTATTTTAATATTGTGGGTTTTTAATTTCTAAAGATTACATAGATTGTTGGCTGTAGAGGTTTCTGTGGTGATCTAGAGAGCTGCTAGATTTTAAAAAGAAGAAAAAAAAACACTTAAAGATACAAATTGTTAGGGCTTTATCATGTAAATGAATTATGTATGATAAATATTAAGTCCCTTGGGGTTATCATATTTTGTAAGAGTGTAAGTGACTACAAGTGCTTTTTTTGTTCGTTTTTTTTGTTGGTGCTTTTTTGATTTCTGGGGGTTTTTTTGGGTCGTTTGTGGTTTCCATGCCTGAAAGAAAGAAAGAGAGAGAGAGAGAGAGAGAGAGAGGGACAGGAAGGTAGACGGTAGGTGAGTGTAGACGCCCGCATCTCAGCGGCGGGCAGCAGAGGTGGGCCCGAGGGAAGCCAGCGCACCGTGGTGGTGCGAAGACAGGAAAGAAACCACTGAGGCATTGATTATTTCAGCCGTCTGATATCAGTCATCACTCAAAGCCAAAGTTTACGTTCCTGGGATGTTCTACGTGTTCGGAATTTTACATAGCGGCTCTTAGAAAAACTCCACAAAACTTCACCGTGACAGTATTTTACTGTTTACCTATTATCTAGTACGTAGGTCAGGCCCTTAACTAGTTGATGCCAACCACAAGATGTTCTTTTTATATTACGGTACTTCCAGTATATCGATTGATATAATTGCTGACTTTTATATTACGGGAGAGATGAATAAGTAAAAAAATAAAAATAAAAAAAATTAAAAAGACGGCGAAAGTGGCGCCGTTTATATTTTCTGTTTTTTTTGTTTTCCTTTCTTTTATTTCATTTTTTTTTTTCGAAAGTAATGAAAACTATGATTATTTGTACCGGATGAAAGTGAAAAAAAAAAATAATAATAATAAACCAACAGTGTATTAAATTTGATCTGTTCAGTGGAAATGTTCTCTTATACGAAATACACAGCTGTGTAATGTTTTAGAATTAGTGTGGTAGACCAACTGTTAGAGAAAGGTGTCTCATTTTTTATGGAATCATACTCAGATTTATATCAACACTTTACAAGTAATGCAATCATTATGTAGATATGATCATAGTATTTTTGTCAACTGTACTATTTTGCACACACGACCTGCAGTTTTTTCATCACTTCTCAGCTCGTGGGACATTACATCGTCTGTTGTTTGCTTTTTTGATTTTTTTTTGTTTTGTTTTGTTTTGTTTTGTTTTTTTGTTTATTTGCTTTGCCTCGTTTTAGTTTTGATATCATTTTTAATGTGACATCCTTTGTAATATTATTTTCTAGAAACACAGCCTTTACACTTTGAAACTGTTTGATTATCGAGAAACTGAGAAATATAGGACTTGTGAAAAAGATATCTATATGTAAATATGAATAATGATAAATATGTCATTTACAAGTGCTACACAAACAAGCCGTCCAGGTGTCCTTGAAGAGTGGCGGCTTGTGCTGTGCATTCGCGAAGAACTTCCCTTCATGTTGTTTACAGTATACCTACTTAGAGGTGTTTGTCACATATCTCATTTTTGTTTCTTTTTTTTTTTGGGTTCCTTTTTTGTATTTATAAAAAATGTTAAAATACATAAAATACAACAAAAACAGCAGCTTAAATTTATCCAGCTGCAAATATCCTCTTGTGTACTGTGTGTCCTACCACACAACTGGGCAAAAATATCGTATCCACTGCTGTAACTCTGCTATACTTTCTGCTTCCAGTAGGTGTTGTGAACAGGCCTTCTCCTTGTCATTGTATGTGCATGCACTATGATCCGCATAACAGTAACCATCAATAAAGTTTCTCAAGATAAGGAGAAATTGTGGTGGCCTATTTTAATTCCTTCGCTATTCTCATAAAGTGGTATATGTTGCCGAGTGGATCGTGTTTCCCAGTGATGGAGTGCGTTTTTCCCTCTGATTTGATTTACCTGAGTTAAATTGCGTTTAAAGGCACGAGGCAAAGGGGAAGCGATCATCTCCGAGGAGCCGGAATAAAATTGATGCCTCCAGGACTGAGGCGCTCATCCCTCAGGTTCAAACGCGCTGCCTCCACGGCGAGGATGTGGAGGCGAGAAGAAACCCCACAATCTGATAAACTTCCAGCACACAAAGGTTATGAAACATATCTCCAGCCAGATATAGTTTGAGAATGAGAAAGCTCATAAAAACAGCCATCCGATGGGTGGGATGTGATTTCGGCCTATTTGAGTACTTAAATAGAGAGGATTTTTTTTGTGACGTGAATGAAATATACTGCCTCGGAACTGTGATCGTTTGTGGAAAAGGTTTTTTCAAAATGTTTGCATAATTCAGTGTGTGAGATGTAAACAGAGAGATTCAGAGTGGTTTGGTGTGAAATGGTTACGATGTCTTTACAGTGGTGGTGATAGGAACCAGGGGTCGCCATGACTACAACACAAATATAGACATTTTATTTACTATCCAGAACCACCAGTGAACCTACACGAGTCTTCTGAGTTTATATATGGAATGATGATGATGATAAAATGTGATAAATCTGGAAAAAAAGAAAGAATTGTCTTACAATGACCTGAATAAGCTTAACAGGCAGTATTCATAGCCATTTAATGTAATACCTTTCTGTGAGGAAGCTTTTAGAGCAGAGGTCACTAATAGGCGGACCGCGGTCCAAGTCCGGACCCAGACTCTGTCCTATGCGGAGCTGAACCCTATAACCGATAAACTATGGAGAATTATTTAATTTTGACGGGGTGGTCCTATTTTAATCGGTGTAGCATTTCTAGCCTTTACGGTAGCTTTAGCAACCAGGGAGGCTCACAGACCGATCGCATGCGTTGTAAATATCACACGTGACGCTACTCAGCCAATCAGATCTGTGCATTACGATGAGCACTGAGACTCGAGTGAGTGATGCACACACAGCGGAGGGACGAGGTGTCGGAGAAGAAAGTGAGTCGGAGGGAAGTTATTTCACGTCGTGCTCTAAAAAGAGAAAACCGACAATAAATATTGTTGAAATATGACTGAATTGTACTTTATTTGATCTGACATTCAGTTGTTGACTGTATAAGATGCTGATATACCTACTAGGCTACTTCAGTAAACAGTATATGGCACTGAATCATGATGCAAGTTAGACATTATGATGTTCTGGACCTTTGCTTGAGGATATTTTCTCTAATTGGACCTTATTGAATTCACTGGCGTTACACCAGTGGTCACCAACTCTGGTCCTGGAGAGCTACTTTGCTTTAGTTCCAACCTGTATCCAATAAGTTGCCCCACCCCTTATTTAACTCTAAATACGTCTGATCCAGCCAATCAGCGAATTGGGAAAAGGTTGGTTAGCTGGAGCAGGTGTGTGGAAGTAGGCCCTGCAGGAAGGCAGCTCTCCAGGACCAGGGTTGGAGACCATTGCATTAAACTAGCCCAAATAAGACTTGACCACTAGTGTAAAACAATGGGTACAAAAAATCATGTGACCATGCTGAACAAGGACTTAATAAATAACCTCCCCACAGTCAGTGTGCATTGCTGCAGTAAGTGTTTTAAGCATCTGTCTATGTTTCTATGTATTTATGTGCCAAATTTCCATTTTATGTAAATTTAATAACAATAAAGTTTATCTTAACTGTTCAGACGTCTGGTTCCTATCACCAGGGGTGGTGCCAAAAAGCCTCTGAAAGCGGTGGGGCAAAAATTCATGGCCATAATATTATAGTTGACTTGGTTCCACTCAGATAGCAAACTGTGCTAGCTAATATCTCAGAAAAAAACATTAAATATTAATTTAGCAAATAAGACATATTCCATTTCACATTGTGTTGGAACCTAAACTGTGACCGAGGGAGTTAGTATATATATGTATCGCCGCTGTCTGAACAAAACCTCATATCTCCATTTTTGTTGAAACGTCCCAAAATTACTTGGAAAAAGTCTGATTACATTGACTTACATTAAAAGTAAAGTATGTTTTTTGCTTCTCCTGTAAAGTTACCATTTTGGAGATGCTAGGTCTTGTTCTGACAGCAGCGATAACAGTACATTAGATAAGTCATCACCCCCTTTTGTAGTAGGGATCAATTCGACAACCGCAGAACAGCGGAGTGTGTGATTGCATTCAGATTGCATGGATATGAACTAAATGTCCCAAACTTTTTTACTGGATAATAACACAAAATTATGAAGTTTTCACTGTTTGGGACATGCCCCGCCCCCCCGCTGATACAGAGATTTGGATTGGTCCTGCTGCTGAGTCTGTTCATGCCTATTGGTCAGCGGTCCATACCAAGAGTGGAGATTTTTTCGATGGAAATGTCCTGAATTCAAGCGAAAAGTAGTGGGGTATCGCCCCAGTACTTTAACTGGGGGGTCAAACACCCAAACGATTTCATATCAAATCACTCTGAATGACTCAAACATTTAACTATGCAGAAGTTTGTTAAATGAGTCGGTCAGTCAGTGTCTGTGCAAAGGTTTGTAGACACCAGCTCACCTTCTGAAATCAAAGGTACTGATATGGATTTTGTCCCCTTTTGCTGCAGTTCCGTCAAAACAGGATTCGCTGTGAGGGTTTGATTGCATTGAGCCACAAGAGCATTAGTGAGGTCAGGTACTGGTGTTGGATGGTCAGTTCTGGATCACTTCAACTCATCCCAAAGGTATTGGATGGAGCGCCATCACTCCAGAGAGCACAGTTCCACTGCTCCACAGCCCAATGCTGGGGGGCTTTATACCCCTCTAGCCCATTGAATTCAATATGGTGACATTAGGCTCAATGGCTGCACCTTAAAGTACTGAATTCACTCATAAGAAAGGCTATATGGATACTCATAGCTGTAGTGTCCTGCAGCGCATACAGGCATGTGCAAAAGTTTGAGCTCCCCTGGAATGACATGTCTACAGAAGCATTATTCTGCAAATTTTAGTGTACAGTGTCCATTTATTTTCTTACATATTGAAAAAAAAACTACATCATGAAATATGCCCAACTCTTGCACAGGCCATATTTTCCCCCAATATGTTAAATTCAGCAAATACACAGTAACTGTGCATTAAAATGTGAAGCGTGTTCTCTGTGGAGGAAGCGTTCTCTTATTTACGCTTAGAAAATCAGCACAACCAAGACGAAGAAGGGACATGTCTTTCCCCCATAACTATAAAGAATAGTAACTATTATCATGCTCTCATATCATCAAGGTGTACTGGAACTTCATAAATTATGCGCGCCGCAGATAGTCCTAACTGAAGAAAAGACGAATTACCTCACATTCTCCATTTGATCAGCGTAATTAGAAAAACTTAGCCAGCGGTTACATGGAAAGATAAGCAATATAAATGTTTAAATGTGATGAAGGAGTCACATTATGCTAGGTAATTACAACTCGTCTTCACAGAAATGGGTGATCAATAATTAACGTATCTTGGGTCACATGTCAGGGACATAATTTAAAATTGGTTATTAATTCCATTATATAAGGAAAGGGAAAAAAAAAGGACTTTCTCTCCAGATTCTGCAGCCGGGTCCTTGGGGAGAGGCCTGATGTTCTTTAATTCAGTTTCTCTCCTCTCTTTCTGCTTCTCCAGTCCTTAATGCACCCTCTGCTCACATGTTCTGCGCTGCTCCCTCCCTCCCTCCCTCCAGCTCCCCGAGACCTGTCAGTAATAATATGATATATGTTTCTGAATTAAATCAAGTATTAAATGAAGTAATTTGGGTCTCTTTGCTCAGTTTGATTCACTGAATGAGGCTGGATTGATTATCATGGAAATTGCGGCGAGTATGTGGACGGTTGCTTTCTCGTGCTTGTCCAGCCGTCGCCTTTTCTGCCTCCGGGGCCTCGCACACTTACAAATCAGACATGTCACTAGCCTTCACGTTCACAAAAGCTCAAAACATTTCTCATTTTCTGGGTTCCTTCACGCTTTCACATCAGTCACATCGACCAAGACCCATTTTCTATTGTGTGGATAGCCATAAAATGGCCAACTAGCCAAATGGTGGTGATAGGAACCAGAGGTCGCCATGTCTTCTACTCAAATAAGGCCGTTTTATTTACTATCCAAAACCACCAGTGAACCTACACGAGTCTTCTGAGCTTTTATATGGAATGCTGATAGTGGAAAACCTGAAAAAATGTATTTTGTTTGGGGACTATTTTGCCTATTTTGAATTACAACACCCTCTCAGTCATGAATGGATTTGTTTTAGGCCAAAACTTTATGTCAGAACTATCATAAAACAATGTCTCAGACATCAGGCAGCAACTTCACATAACGGCTTTCTATGAGGGAGTTTTTTGAGGGAGACGTCTGGTTCCTATCACCGCCATTGTGAACAATTCTGACTCAGCAGGTTTCACTAGATCAGATGTTTTACATCAAGCCAATCTGAATGACATCTTAACCATTTAATTAGGCAGGAATTTTGAATAAAAAACAACAGAAGTCCCCTTTAAATATGACTATAGTCATATATAGAGAGAAATCTAGGATAAAAAAATGCATCACGTCAGCACTGATGGCTGAAAGAGCTTTGAGTCTGCCCTATTTCCCTCCTTCCGCAGACTCCAGCGCTGCTGCTGTTTACATCCAGACATTAGACATGTTTTCATACTTATTTGTCACAAATATGGCTCTCATGAGTCACTGCCATCTCGGAGAGTCTTGGAGTGCACCTTGCTGCAGGCTGTAGAGCTCTGCTGCTTTCAGCTGATCTCATTCCAGCTCTGCAGTTCTGCATTCACTTTCTCACGGGTTAGTAAGATTTCATGCAAACTTTTTTTTTTTTCCCGGAGGTTGGGGGGGGGACTTTTCAGTGCTCGTGTCCAATAGGA